AGATGATGTTCTTGGATGTTCATCAGTGACCATAGCAATCTACCTGATGATTTTATAAAAAAACCAAAACCAATCCAAAAAGCAAAACCCAAAATACACAACAAACCAGAAACAAACAAAAAAAACACCAGTATGTGCTATTTTTCCATGCTTTAATTTATTTCTGTGTTGATATTACAGTAATTCCATCTTTATGACTCTTTTCTTAGGTTGCCTGAAGCTCAGCAGAGGGTCGGGGGATGTTTTCTAAATTTGATGTCACAAATGAAAAGCTTGTACCTTGCATACTGTGCCAACCACCCATCAGCAGTAAATGTTCTCACAGAACACAGGTAAGTTTGCTTCAAGATCTTTTAACTCTGTTCCTAAAAAACTGCTTAAGATATGCTTGTGTTGTAAAGCTGCAATTTCTTTTTACACACGTTTTGTATGGTAGAGCTTGTTATTAAAAAAAAAAAGTATATTTAAAAAAGAAAACCCCACAATCCAAAACTGTTCTGTGTGATTAGGACCAGCTTATAGCTCTTGGCAGTGTCATCAACTGCTGGAGAGCATTTTTTCATTTAAAGACCACATTATGGACTCTGAGGATGTCAAACAGATTGAATGGACCATCGTTTTTGTTTAAAAAATGTCAAGATCAAAACAAGCTTGTCAGTTGTACCATAATTCCACATGATTACTAGGAGACAAGTTGATGAGTTGTAACTTTGCCCTATAAATGCCTGCACAATTGTATTTAATTTTATTTTATGATGATATCCCCTCACCTTGACTTTTGAGTGGTGTGAAAGGAGTGTGAGCTTTTCAAGTTTACTGAGTTAACGTGATGGAGGTTGCTTAGCTTGGGGTCTAACCTTGAATTTGCATAGAAGATGCTCTGTATCACCTTGAGGGAAGAGAGCTGAGCCCAAAATTTGCTTAAAGAAGTCTACTTTCACTAAGTTGTCCTGTGTGTTCTCCTGATGATCATGTGCTGCAGCAGCTCTTAGTTTGGGGCTGTTTGTTTGCTTGTGATGCAAGACAGAACCATGACCTCTTGAAGGTTAGACATAGGACAATTTCTAGCAGGGTATCTGTTCTTTTTGTGCTTTTTCCTGCCTTTTTCTGTTTTCTTGTGATGGACTGAAGTAAAGATATTTTGAATGTTCTTAACTTCTAAACAACAAGGAGCATAATTATTGTGTTGTCTGTGGGGTTAGCTTCTTCCAAGAGCTCACATTCTAACAGCAACACTATGAGGCTCACTATTTGTGAGCCTTACTCATAACAGTATAAATAATTTCAAAAGAAAACCTCCTAGCTACCAAATATTACTATGCACTGTTACTGAAGTCATTAAGATGTGCAACTCTTTGAACCCCACTTGAAAAATCAAGCTCCAAATTCACATTGCAGGTACAGGCAGACACAAGGTGAGTTTTTTTTGTCAGAAGTCATGACAAATAAACATGTTTTATCTTGTTTAATTTTAAAAACCCTCTGATGAAACCCCTTAGTGTCTGTTTTCCTTCAAAGAGCATAATTCTAGTACTACTTCTTATAAATAGTAAAATGTTGATGTGATGCAGCCTGTTTTTCATGCTTTTAGGCTTAGGTTTTTTTTTTGTTAGTGCCTTTATGCTCTTTCCATACAGAGATAAGGGATTTAATCTGTAGGTGGAAGATGGCAGCGATAGCAAAGTGATGATCTCATTTCTTTAAGATTAGGAGATATTTGTAAAGGATTATCCTAACTTCCAGAACTTTTGGAAAGCCCAGGGAGCAGCCATATCAGAGCACCCACAATAAAAATGCAAGGGGAGCAAAGCTGTTTGTTCTGCAAATGGAGAAAAGAAGCATTTCCTCTTGTCTGTGTTGCTTTGGACATAGATTCTCCTCAGCAAAATTCAGTTTCTGGTCTGTAAAGTCAGCTTGATATCAAGTCCCAGGGGAGTCAGTGTGTCAGAGCAGTTAAATAATTTGGATGTGGAAGTAGGTGCAGAGCAATTGCATTGTTCATAAAAGATAGCTCAAGGGGAGGCAAGTTGTGATAAACAGCTTTCTATTTCATGCTGTTCTCTTGCCAGGCATGAGTCAACAGAAGTGAATCCTGGGTTTTATTTTTAATTGCCCCTATTTTATTATTCTAAGGCCTTCAACTTTCCTGAACACCATTGTTGTAGGTAGCAAGTGTCCTGATGAAAAATTCTGCCATGAAGAAATCAGAAGGTGGCTTTAAAGCAGCTAATGCCATTTTCCTCTCCAGATTGCCAGAAAGCTTTTAATTATATTGTTTTAAAGGCAGGGGAAAAGAGAGGGATAACAAACTGAAGGCACAGAGGAAGGGAAAACACTCCAAACTCTTTCCTTGTCTGTTTAGCTCAGATGGCTTTAGTGTGTAAAAGGATCTCTCATAAGCCTTAATGTAAAAATGACTTTGAAGCCTGAGGATAGTCGTGATTGTAATAATAATGAAATAACTGTACTGCAGTTAATACTAGATAATAATGAACTGGAATTTTTCAGAGCTGTCAAAGGTGGAGGCTTAAGACATTTAAGAAACAGTGATAATTCGGCTGGTTTTGTGAGACACTTGGACTCGCTGCTAAAACTGTATTGTATGTTTTAATACCAGCAGAAATATGGCAGAGAAGTAGGTGTTTGAATTCTTGGGTTGGAATATAATGTTTGTAACAGCTGTGCCATTCAGCAGTGCTTTAGAGAAAGGAGAAAGCAGCAGTCTGGAGCAGTTGGATCTGGAATGTAAATTCTCACCGTGCACAGCAGATTATTTCTCACTACGAACTCTGTACACTTCACAGACTGAAAGGAGCCTTCTGAAAGCCTTTCCACACAAAAATCCAGCAGATAATTTCAATTCAGGTTCTTGCATCACGAAATCAGTATTTTCTGTGGTTTACAACCTTCACTTGCTTTTCGTGGGGAACCATACCAACAAACAAACAAAAATCTCCTAGAAAATTGCTCTAGGTGAAACTACCTCTATTTTGTTCTTTTTATTTTATAAATTACAGTAGTTTTATTACTGTGTTTTTACTGTCACTGACTAAAAACCACTTAAAAGAAATTGGCTGTCGTTTTGGAGCATTAACTGTGTTGTTTCTTTAACCAGCTGGATCACTGTAACATCAAAATTGTAGCAATCATCTGGTTTGTTGGAGTGATAGGTATATAAGGTTTTTAACATGTAGTTTCCTAAGTATCAAGTGTGCCCTTCAAGCAGTGTTAGTGTCTTTGACCACCTGGTAAAGACTCTGTGTATTGTATATATGCACATATACATCTATCACCCAATGATAATCACTTACTCAGAATTATTTTGGGCTTCTAGTCAAAAGCTTCTCTTTTTGAACAGCATTTTTGTGAAGTCTCTGAATAGCAGTACTTGGTATGGGGCTGGAGATTTAAAAGGGGCATTCAGTTGGAATGCAACTGTCTTCTCTTCCTTTTTTTTTAATGCCATTCAGTGTGAATGCCAGCCTGTGTTTCTTCTTTCTCTTCTTTGTCATTTGTTTCTTGATCATATATAGCAGCAATGTGGGGGCTTTTATTCAATTTATACAAAATAAGGGTGTATGCATGTGTATGGTCATCTATAGGCATGCTTTATATAAATAGACAGTTGGGTGTGAAACACAGTAGAGATTTTTCATGTTCAGATCTTTAAAACTGCAAACATCTTTCATTTTCTGAGGTTAATAATCCAAAATCAAACCAAAAGAATATCAGTAGAGACCTGAGTGTATGTGACTATGTAGAAATGGGAATAAAACCTAATACATCCCATACTGGAATTCAGGATCCAGAGCTGAACGTTTCTGTGGTTGATTTTGCCTCTTGATAATCACAACAACAAATTTCCTATTAATTTTGGGAACAGATTCTCTTCTTGGTTCTAGAAATGGCACTGTTCAGATGTTGGCACTCTAACTTTTGCTATTTTATACAGCCTTGAAATTTAGTAGGAACTTCTTGTCTCAAATTGTTTCAGAGCCATTGTGTATTTATTTGCAGAATTAAAATCTTTCAGTGCAATGAATCCAGAATTTTTGAGAGTTAAATAATTTTTATTTAGATCTCTGTTTCTTGCAATTATGTCTTAAGCCACTGACTGGAGCTGAAGAGGTGGAGCTTGCTGGGTACAGCTGGGTGGTGGCTCTTGCAAAGATCAGGGCTTTGCATGTTTCTACAGCTGCCTCTTCTCTCCTTGTTCCCTTCTCCCACATCTATAGTGCCCCTGTACACAATTCCTATTTTATTGACTTTATTCAGTAAGTCATACCTCTGGCTGCATTGTATGAGGGCTCCATACAATTTTTTAGTATTTCTTAGTTTTCCTTAAGAATCCCATTTACAGGACTGTATTCCACATGACAAGAAGAAAGATGCCTGAGTGTAGAACTCACTGAAAAGTGGATAATATAATGAGTAAAAAAATAAATCCAACAGCCCCCAGTGATCAGCAGTGATGAAGCTCTTCTGAAGAAATACGGAGAGTACAGACCCACTGTAATCAGCATTACATCATTATTGGAAGGGGAGGGTTTGAAGCTTTTTGACTTGGTTGAAAGAACACCATGTTTATTTTAAAACAAAACAAAAGAAACATGTTTCCAAAAGAAAATTCAGTTTGATGGAGAGGCAGAAAAAAAATGAGTGATATGCACTTGCCGTTTTTCTTTTAGAGTGGCAAGGCAGTTCTCAGCTGCCAGAAAGCCATTCACAGGTCTTTGCTTGTTCAAATATTAATTTTGCTAGATTTTTTCAGTTTTCTTAGACAACATATTCCCAAACACATTCTTGCATCACAGACCTAGCAGTCTGGATAAAATTTGTAGAGCCAAAACATCACAATTACTCCGAGTAAGTGGAGCGTGGAATACAGATCAGCTTGAGTCAGAAAACCCTTTGTGCCTCCCCCACTTTGGTGCATCCCCGAGCCTGGAAGTGTTCAGGCTGATGTCATCCACCCAGCAACAGTCCCCGGGAGAGGAGCTCGACTGGGAAGTTCAGTGCTAGGAGCTGAAAAGCTGCAGCTGAGGGGTTGCTGAGCGGAGCTCAAAATGCGGTGCCTGTGTGCAGCCTTCAGACCCCTCAGCACTGAGAGCTCCTGCTCCATCTATTACAAACAGAAACCTGCTGCTGAAGTGTAAGTTGGGATTTGTTTTTTTTAAATGGATAAGTTTTAGTTCCTGGATGTGTTTTCCTCAAGTTTAGATGGCTTTTGGTTTTTAGGCTTCTGCTGCTGGAGGCACATCTGAACTTTTCTTCTCCCCCTCCCCAACTCTGATGTGCAGGTTTTGAGGCAGCTGTGCTAAGAAAGGTTTGAAAATAGGGCTTAAAGACACTTCTCATGCTGACCTTTAAAAGTATCTCAAGCTGTGAGCTCACTCTGGAGTGGGGAGAACTCTGCAGCTCAAGATTTCAGGATAAATGAAGCACAGGACTTTAATTTGCTTCTCTGCGTTTTATTCTGTAAAGTGACGCAAATGGTGAATTCAAGTCTCAGCTGCCTCTTTCTGGAAAGCCACTTATTTAGGCAGTTGTGACTAAACTGATGATTTTATCATTCAAAAGTTTTTCCTGTTCAGCTAAATGATACCTTTCTTTAAAATGCTCTGCTTAGCTGTGGGCCAGATTTTTATTTAGCATATACTGCCTAGGAGAGTGTGGTACTTGCAGGCATCGATTGAAATTGTGACATGAAAGAGCCATTGTCTGGCAAAGCAGCTGCACTCTTAAGCTAATGACACTGATTTTTAAGCTGCTATTAATTAAAAAAGAGTTGTGAACTGCTATCATATTCAAACAGCATTTTAATCCACCCATATTTTATTGAAAATAAACTTTTTCGTTACGTTCTGTATTCTAGATGTCCTTTGTGAATAAATGAAGGGTGCTCACTTTATTCTTTGAGTTAAATTCACACCAGTTTTGCCATTTTATGGCCAGGAAGCTGCAGAGGTAGCAGGTTGGTTTGGCACGAGTAGACTGATAACAGGGTTTGTGTGATGGGGCTGCTCAGACAGAATTTGGTGTGCTATTGTATTAAGAGTCTGTGTTCATACCAGAGTTTGAACAAGGTGTGTCAAAATTGTCACAAGGAAGCTCAGAAATATATGGAAGAAAGTATTGTCCTCCTGGAAATGTTGGGAGGAAAACTATATGATTGTTTTAATGACACCTATTAACACTGCCCCCTGTTAAAAAAGGATTCCTGATGATGCTGAGCTTTTTTTTTTCAGGACTTTGTGTACAGATTGAGTGAGCTGAGGTTGAAAGTTGCTCTGTAGGTTTCCTATGTTGTGAGTAAGTAAACAGGAGGTGGTAAAGAGCCAAGTGTTTTGTGTGGAGGAGCAGTGAATGGCTTGGAAACTGCAGCAACACTGCGCCACCACAGAGCCTGTGCAGTTAAAGGCAATGCAGAGGGCAAGA